CCAAAACCAATTGGTTGTAATTAAATCCTTTTGATGAAATTTCTGCAACTCCCTATTGTGTGACACCAGCACCGAAATGCTAATAAACTAGTTCAAATTAAGCTTATTACCAAGTAAAATAAACCACAGAGACACTTCTGCCTTCTTTTTATATCATCATTCATAGAACATTATTTTGCATTAGAGAAAATAAAAAATACTTGACCAGGGCTAAAGCACCAGCCTCAAGAGCAAGGCTGAACATTGCAGTCCAGGAGAGAGTCCAGAGATTCTCCCCACTGCTGCTCCTGCTGAGCTGAGAAACAGCTTTTAGCTGTGTCAGCATGTCTGGAAAACCCAAACTCCACAACACTGCTGGAGAGATGCTACACACCAGGAGCTGCTCAAAGCGTGGAGAGCTCCTCCAACAACAAAGCAAAGGGGACTAAGTGGAAAGGAGAGCATTGGGACAGAGGTTGCTCAGAAAGCACTGCGTGCTCTGAAGCTGGGTATGTGAATGCATCCTTGAAGAAATACTCCAGGGAGTTAACAATGGCCTTGTCCTCTTGAGAGCCTTCTGTACAAACGTTCTGAAGTTCTCCCAGCCTTGCACAGCAGCAGGAGCAGCCAAAGGAGGATACAGGGACCCAGCACTGCTACCACCACCCAAAAGTTTCAACAGTAGGAGGCTGTAAAATGTATGACAAGGGGATGATAGAATCATGGATTCATTTTGGTTAGAAGAGACCTTTAAGATTATCAAGTCCAACCCTTCCCCAGCACTGCCAGGTCCCCACTGCCCCGTGTCCCTCACCCCACATCTCCACGGCTTGGAAACCCCTCCAGGGGTGGGGACTCCACCACTGCCCTGGGCAGCCTGGCACAGCCCTGGGCAACCCTTTCAGGGCAGACTTTGGGAAGGTGTAGGCAAAGTCAAACGTTGATGAAGAAGCCCTGGAAGAAGGCAGGCAGTGCAGTGACCACCCTGCCAGTTCTTCAGGACGTCTAAACCCTGCTGTTTTCTAGACTGTGTGGGAGCATGAGGTGCTTCGTTACCTGAGCACACATCCTGCTCTGCAGAAGGCAAACATGAAAACTTTTAAGCCCTCTGGACAGAAGCTCAGTGAGAAAAGCAGTTTCTGCTCATCGAACTCATCTTTCTGCATGATTAGTTCCTTCAGTTTGACTGGGAACCCCTTCCTCATATTGGTGAGCAGCTCAGCAGCATCAGACCATATCTGTGAGCAGCTCCTCCTGAGTGAGGAAGGTGGAAGAGATTCAGTTCTTCCCCTTTGTCTTAATTTAAAACCAAATGTGAAAGAGGTTGTGAAGAGTGAGCTTTACTTGAAATCACACCCACCACATTCCAGTCTCTGTCTCTAGCAGGCAAAACATCCATCAAGAATTACAATAATTTGTAAAATGTTTTGAGAAACAAAGCAAGAAATGCATCAGTCTGCAGACCATAATTTTTACAAGCTAGCAGTAAAAGCTATAGAAGAGCTCATTACAATTTACTGTGACAAGGAACACAAAGAGCATTTCCACCCCTCTCCTGAAAACCAGAAGAAAACCATTATTTGCCAGTGCTCTCCCATTCTGTGGGCCACGTTCAGCACAGCTAAGCAGGCATGGAATTCAGGCTGCAGTTTCCACAGGGACCCCAATGAGTTAATGGCCTAGCCTTGATTGGAAATTCTGCTCTCAGCTTTGGGTTGCCAACAGGAGGAACTGCTCCCACAATCCAATATCCTAGCCAGTGATCCTTTTGTTCCTGAGACTGGCTTATGGGACTGGCTTTGAGAGTTCAAAAAGAAAAGATTAAAAAAGCACATGAGGGTGTTTAGTTATGTTCTTCCATTTGTGGGCACCAAATAAAATGCCCCTAAATCAGAAAAAAAAACCACACAGACAAATCTACTGAAAAAATAATGTTTTAGAGCTGCAAAAAAAGTAAATATAGACTTTTTTTTTTCTTTTTTCCCCCTGTGCCTCCAGAAGAATCATCACAGTAAAAATAAATACAGATGCTAAAACCAGGAGGATTATACAAGTCAGAGTGGGTACAAGACTATGCATTTTATTAGCATAATTTAAATTCTAACAGGGTTCAATCTGGTGTTGAGAAATCTGAGGAGCATCCAGCCTCTGACAGGACAGGGCTCTGCTGCTTTCCCTGTCACAATAAAATTAAGGTTAACCCCATCACTACTCCATGGGTGTAAATACAAACACAGCCTCAGACAGAAATAATCAACTAATAAAAAATGTCAAATGATGGTTACTATTAATGGAATAATAATAATAAAAAAAACATAATTATGAGCCTGTTCCAGCTCCAGAGGGGTGGCCATCCCCATAACCATTCCCAGGACTCTGGCAGCATCCCTGGAGTTGGGGCTGCTTCAAATGGGGGCATAAATGTAGCCTGGGAAACCAGAGACAACAAGTGACACCAACCTGCCCGAGTTCCCACACCCACACGTTCAGCACCACAGCTCTTGGGCTGGTACTTCTGCCCTCAGACAAAACCCCAAAACCCAAAACTCTACACTTTGGGAACTCTCAGATGAAAATGCACAAACTCCAGCAGAGCTCCCAAGGCCTTTGGTGCCTCTCTGAGCTGTAGACAGGTGATGAACCAGTTGCTCTGCTGAGCTGGAACAGCCAGGAGAAAATAAACATGCTATGTGCTATTCCTGGTGATCATCCCATGGGAATGCCTTTCCTAGATCATAAACTGGTTTGGGTTGGAAGGGAACTTAAAGATCATCTAATTCCAGCCCCCTGCCATGGGCAGGGACACCTCCCTCTAGAGCAGGTTGCTCAAAGCCCATCCAGCCTGGTCTGGAACACAACCTGCCCTGGACCCCCTCCAGTGGTGGAGCATCCACAGCTTCCCTGGGCAACCTGGGCCAGCATCTCATCACTCTCACACTGAAGAACTTCTTAATTTCTAATCTAAATCTCCCCTCTTCCAGCTTGAAACCAACACTCCTCATCCTTTCACTACAAGCCCTTGTAGAAAGTCCCTCCCCAGATTTCTTGTTGACCCCTTCAGCTACTGGAAGGCCACCAGGAGGTTCCCTGTCCTGACCTTACAGACATCTCCTGCATCAATCCATAGCACATCACTCGTAATCATCTTTTATTTTGATATTCCATGTAGTTATTTTTAATTTTTCCTTCTTTTTTGCACATTCCCATTCCAGAAGAAGTTGAATTCCTGATCTCTGTATCAAGAACAAATAAAAACTGCTGCAAACCCACAGGCTGAAGAAGGGAGGGAATCCTTCCTGACACTTTTTCCCTATTTTTGCCCCTGAAGACTGAGGCCAAATACTCTGTGACACTTGTCACCAGAACAATGCTGATTGCTTGATGAATAAAAACGTTTCCTTGGGCTTTTTCCTTCCCCCATGCCCACACGTTTATCAAACCACCAGCCTCAGCCACAGCCCACAACAGGGAATTCTACGAGCCAACGATGTGGAGCATAACAAACATTTATCTTTTCAACCTGCTCAATATTTTCAAGTATTTCTCCTGTGTTCAGGTTTTCAGGATGTAATTGTAGAAACTTTTATCACTTTTTTCTCCAGCAGAGGATCTTTCCTTGCCCAAACTGAATCAAGGTAGTCTCCATAATCCCTCCCCCCAGCTGCTCTCACTCACCCTTCTATCGCTTCTAATCACGTCTGTAATCAAAGCTCAGCATTAAATTCCCAGTGAGGTGAGTCCATCAATTTACACAACGCCAAGGTAATATTTTCTAACTCATTCCCTTTCTAAATATAACCACGTGTTGTATTTGGGTTTTGGAGGCCCACTGCATGTTAAGTGGATGCTTTTATTAAGTTGTCATGTATGACGTGTAGATCTTTCTCCCAAGAGGTTACAAGCAATTCAGAATCCAATAATGCATACAAGGAGTGTTAAATTGCCCCTTCTACTGTAATTACCTCACAAGTTAATTCCACGTTCCAGCTTACAGCATGCTCTCCAGCAGCCTTCAGGAGGGTGCCTGACAGTCACTCACAGGGCTCATTCATTCATCTGGAGCCTTTCTAGAAAGTAATGTCAACTCCTCACCCCCTCCTTGTCCAGCTATTGCTAAACACACTGCAGGTAACTCGTTCTGCTCGTGATCTTCTTTCTATTTTGATATTTCATGTAGTTATTTTTAATTTTTCCTTCTTTTTTGCACATTCCCATTCCAGAAGAAGCTGTTTATCAGTCCCGTGCCCGATGACTGTTAATTCATGGCACAATTTTGCCACCAAATCTGTGATTTTCAAGCCCCCTTAGTCTTCAGTTACAAGACACTTTGATAATTGTGATTAAATCAGCAGGTTATCCACAATTACGCTCTTGGGTTGTGTTTGTTCATGTCAGATTTTAAGAAAAATGACTTTAAAGATAAAGATAATTCAGATAAACAATCTTGCCCCTACAACAGCAATACCAAGCTAGCAGAGGAATAAAGGTCCAACATCAGTAACATTTGAAAGCACAAACACAAGCTTTGTTCATGGAACTTTTCCACACTTCCCTTGGCTTCCCAGCAGAGCCTGAGTGCTGCAGGGAGCAGCTTGGCAAGGGACTGAACTGTGTGCCTCTACCTGTGCTAAGGACACCTCTTTGGAACAGCTCACCTGGCTCTTCAAAACACCCCTGCTCCTTCTGATGGGCTTCTCTTCTGACATGCTCCTAGGGGGGCTCGTTGGCTTCTCTGCTGTTCCATGGGGGGTTTGTGTGTGTGTGTTTTGGTTTTTTCTTTTTCTAAATGGCAGATGCACTTGGCAATATCTGTGACCTTGAGCTGTGCACATGAGCAAGCAGGAGAGCCCAGTCCTGCGAGGCTGTTTGTGCATTCTGAGAGAGCTCCTTCCGAGAGGGGTGTCTCAAGGAAGACAGGAGCATGATGTGCATACCAAGCCAAGTGCTTCATGATTTATTTATAGGCAAAAGGGGCATAAAAATTTGCTGAAGGGGAAAGAAAAATGAAGGATTTGACTTACCTTGTCGGAGTAGAGGAAGAACAGGATCGCAACGGTGAGCTCCAGCAGAAATATGATTAACAGCATGATAAAAAACTGCCAAGAGAAGAAGGGGCAGGGGGAGAAAAAAAAAAGCCACCATCAACACCTCTTTCAGCTTTTTCTGGGGGCACAGCAGGGACTCTCAGCAGATCATGCAGAAAGGGGAGTGGGCATCACGCAGGCAGCAAGATGCCAAGCTGCTGTGCTCCAGCAGAACAGAAGGCACAGGACAGGCAGCAACTGAGAGAGCAGGGGAAGGGAAGGGCTGGGCAGCAAACACAACAGTGTCTGGGCTTACGTATGGCTCCTCTGCACCACTGACCTCAGAAGCACAGCATAAACCCCCCAAAGACCTGTCCCCCCAGCAGGCCAGTGCTCTATTTAACAGAGACCCCCCAGAACTCTTCCCAGGCTAGCCTTGCTTTATTATTATTTCCCCATCAAATCTTTCCAATTAACAAAATATGAGCAAAATCCACAGCTGAGACTTCCCACTGCAAGAGTAGGTAGCCAGGGCCATAAACCATGAAGTCCCAGCTCTTTTCAAGGTGAACTGTGGAAGGAGTGGAAGGCACACCAAAAACCTTGTGCACCAAGTCAGCTTTACGAGGAATTTTCAGGCAGCTACAAAAATCACCCGTGGGTTTCATAGAATTGTTTAGGTGGGAAAAGACCTTTAAGATCATCAAGTCCAACCATCAACCCAACTCTACCAAATCCACTGCTAAACCATGTCCCCCAGCACCACAGTTACATGACTCTGAAACCCCTCCAGGGGTGGGGACTCCACCCCTGCCCTGGGCAGCCTGGCACAGCCCTGGGCAACCCTTTTGCTGAAGAAATTTTCTGTAATATCCAACCTAAACCTCCCCTGGTGCAACTTGAAGCCACCTCTTGTCCCATCAACTGAACAAGGCTGATGGATAGTGAAGACATCAAAGCAAAGCTCCTCTGTCTCATTTACTCCTCATAAGCCATGGAATTGTTTAAAATCCAGTAGTGAAAAGCTCAAAGGTGTGGATAAAAGACTTTGACACAGGGATTTCAGTCAGATTCTCTGAAGCTCTGAGTGACTTTGGAGAGGAACTGTTGGCATTGCCAAGCACTTCTGAAAACCCACATGCCCTGGTTCTTGTAAGGATGCTGGATGGGTCTGCAGCAGCACCAGCACAGCAGCTGCCTGGACTTCAGAACAGGCACTACCAGAGCATTAAATGAAACCCAGTTTTGCAAAGATGGGTAAAGGAGAGAGAGATATTTTGGAAACTTTAGGCTCAGGGAAAGGTGCTGCTCCCTGGAACACAAACTCCATTCACTTAGCAGCCTGCAAGGTTGGAATTCTAATACTGAGCAACACCAACTTAATTGAAATTCCATCCCCAGGAGAATAACAGCTACTGTCTGCTTAGCTGCCACTCCAGGGCTGCAGACCTATGAAAGTTTAATAGCTACAAAGCCTTATCAGGGCTTCCTCCCTGCCTGCTAAGTCAAAAATAAACCTTTGAACCCATGGATTTCTGTGATTGAATGGAGGGCAAAAGGTCAGGAAGGGAAAAATATCTTTTTCCACTAGTACAATTACACTGTCTACAGAACTCATTGAGTTTTGCCCCCCGAGCCTTAAATTAAAGTTTGGTTTCAAATCTTCACTGCTAGCACCTTCCCACCTACCCGACCCTCGCCCTGGATCCTGCTGCTGCCCAGCTGTGAAGCACAGGACTCATTCCTGCCCATGATCCAGGCCCATGCCCACATCCTCTCCACCCAGTTTCTGTGTGGCTTTGCAAACCAGCCTCAGCTGCTGCTGCTTTGCAGGTTCTCAGAGCACTGCCTGAGCCAGGACAGAGCACAGGGCTCTTGGGGAGCTGCCCAGACACTCTGCTGGGGGTTCTCTGGCACCCCTACAGCGTGGCCTTCCCAAAACTTGCCTCTGAACACCACTTGTGCCCCTCTGAACCTCCCTGCCACAGCCTGGGTCCCATCAGGCAATTTCCAGGACAAAGGAAGGGCTTGTTCCCATTACAAATGTGGTCAGCACTCCCTACCACAGGACCCCAGTTTCATCAGCTCATCATCTGGCCAAACCTTCATTGCCTATGCTTATATATTCTGAGCTTGTTTCTGTCTAAAGGAGAAAAGCTTTGGGAAAAACTTCAAAACCAGCATTTCAATTACTCCTCAGAATGAAGCCCCTTACTCCAGGATTCCACCCAGGTGAAGGTTCTGGTGGCTCAGTTTGAGATCCTCTCATGCCCTGGTGTTCACAGCCAGGATCTGAAACCACATGCAGCTCCAGGTCAGGCACCTGCCTTTGGCCTTATCCCACTGAGAATGGATTTCCCTGGGAAAGTTATAGCCTTCAAAACCCTGCATTTCACACGTCCAGCAGAGAGGAGAGGGCTCAGCACCTAAACCCTGCAAAGTCTGCTAGCACAGAGAGCCTGCTCACACCCTCAGAGCATCCTCCCAGCTCCTGCAGCACCCACACACGTCCTTCTGCCTTCCCCCCGGAGCTGATGGCCTCCAGTCCCCCTTCACAGCAGGTATGACCAAGAACCAGAGTGAAATCCAGGGACCTGCTTGTCCTGTGCTCTCCAGGAAGCTTCTCCTCCCACCTCCACACTCCCCAGCCCAGGGGAGGCCAGGGAATGACTCTGCAGGAGAAGGGGGAGCCTGAGGACCAGCGTTGCCCAGGACGGGCAGGGCTCTCAGGCTCCCTGCCTGGCACCTTCCTGGTCCTGCTGCTGTGTCTGCAGCCACACCTTGCCCAGTTTTGCCCCCTGGCCTGGGGGAGCAACAGCAGCTCACTTGCCCAGCTGGAATGAGCCTCTGCTGCTTGCTCTGCAGCTCTGAATGAGGGAGGTGAACTTGTTCACAGGTCATTTCTTTCTCATTTAGTTACTTTGAAATAAATTCCCTGTCACCAAGGGAGTTTGAGCTGTCAGCTCTCTGACTGGATCCAGCAACACCATGGAAAACAGAAGGGCTTTTTATGCTCCTTTTCCCCCACTCACTTGCTTCTCCCTCATCTTCTTTAGTGCTGTTTCTCTTACAGAGGAGCTGCCTGAAGTTCAGAAAGCTCTCAGCAGCACAGTCCAGACTGTCACAGGCACTTGTTTCCCCCTTGGACTGTTCCCTAAATAAGAACCTCTGGATGTCTGGATGCTCTTTCAGATACATCTACAGCATCAGCTCCTTCCTCAGCTGATCCTGACCTAGTATCATGGTTTAATTCTGATCACTCCAGCAACAGTCATGAGCTCCTTGCTTATTACCATGAGGTCCTCATTTAAATCAAGCTGAACACATAGATCTGTCTGTTAATGATTCTAATGAAGTCTTTCTCCTCCTCATTAATCATTGTTTCAGCTTTTCCACAACAAAAATGAAGTCAGGATTATGCACAACTTAGAGGAAAGAGGGTATATCTAACTCATCTTCTACCTTGGATCTGCTGGAACATCTTACCCAGCCCTGGTGCTCTATAAGAAGGCAGCTGGCTCTGGGTAAGCACAGAGGAATCAGCATTTTCTCTACTTCAACCCCTTTCCCCTTTCTAATCTCTTCCTGTATGGGCAACAAGAATCCTCTGGGTCAATTCAAGGCCTTTTTAGGTCTGCAGAAGCAAGATTCATCCCCTGTCTCTTCTGACTGGATTGCTGGCCATATTGCACAGCCCCACAAGAAGCAGAACACCACGTTCCTTGTACCAAGTCTCTGGAGAAAAAGAAAAGCCTCACAAAGCCAAGGGTGAAATAAAGAACTGTCTGTGGTTCCTTCTAAGACATGGGTTATTATTTAAGTTGCAAGAGTCTGGAAACTTGGTATCTGGACACATGTGCTGCAACAACCAAATAGACCTAAACCTCCTTCCTTCACAAAGACCCAGTGTTGGTTTTACCAGTGACTAGGATTTCATGGCCCAAAAGAAAGTTCCTATTTGCAAAAATCCCCACTGCTTTAGCCCATGTTGACATGTCCCTTCTGGCACCTCCTCTGAACACCCTGGTTCCCATTTAACTGAAAGCCATGTGCCAGTTGGGCTGAGAGGCTCAGCTGGGACAGCCTGCAGTGGATGGAGCTCTGAGAGACCAGCCAGTTGTGGCAATTAGGCACTTTCAGCCAAGTAAAAACTGGAAACTACCTTTGCTTGGGTTATTTAGTTATTGTTTGGATGTAATACACGTGATGGAAGAAACCTAAACTGTCATTCCTACTATGGGAACCAGGACTAAAGACTTCTCAAAGGTCACTGCAGCACCCAGGACAGCCAGACATGATCTGCTGGAATCAGAGAATGACAAAGGCACAGAATTGAGGTTTAGACACTTTGGGTTTGCTTCAGAGCTCTCCCAGAGTCTCCCAGGGCAGCCTACACGAGGCACTTCGTTTCACTTTGCTGCAGCTCCCCATCTGTCTGATGAGGAGAGTGATGCTTTCCATTTGTCCTGGCTGTTTGGGTGGTGAGCTGTGCTGGTCAGGGACCTGCTCTTACCAGGGGTTCTACACACAAGGAGCATCCTCATCTCTGGGGCTGCCTGCAGGGGATACTCTAGTACACATAATAAATAACTTCATCCATCACCCTCTGACATCCTGAGCTGGGATTCCACGGCCTGGCCATGGAATAATGACCCTTCTCAGGGCAAGCACACCAACACAGACCTCTGCTAAAGGTGGAGAATTCAGGCAATTTAGCTCCTCAAACAATGATTTTAAGCAATTAACCTAAAAGAGACACAGTTTACACAGACACGTGGGGATCAGCCAGGTCACCACTGGAGCATGAAAGAGAGAAACAGCACTTAGGCATCAAATACCCATGAAAAATACCAGTGCAAGTCCATGAACTCAGTCTCTTAAGTCAGACTTTTGACTTATTATCTCTGTCACCTGTTCAGGGCATAGAATCACAGAATGGGTTGGGTTGGAAGGGACCTTAAAGCTCATCTTGTTCCAGCCCCCCTGCCACAGGCAGGGACACCTCCCTCTAGAGCAGGATGCTCAAACCCCATCCACCCTGGCCTTGAACACCTCCAGGGATGGAGCATCCACAGCTCCCCTGTTCCAGTGTCTCACCACCCTCCTAGTGAGGAATTTCTTCCTTACAGTGACCCAATCCATCAGAACAAAGCTGCTCTTTTCCAATTACAGCTCAGCCTGCAGCAGAGGGACCTCTGTTACAGCAGAAATGTCAAACCAGGAACAGAACAGCAGAAATGTCACAGGAACCTCACTGAAGCACGAGCTCGTTGTTCACCTGCTCCACTCATCACTTTGCACCTCCATTTAGATGCAGGATGACATACACCAGGTTGTACACTTATTTCAAGGAATCCCAGTTGCTCTGATTTCCCCTGGGAAATGTAATGATGGAAAAGTTTATGTTCCTTCACGTTGTTGCTGAAGCAAAGAAGAATGATGCAAACATCCATTCTTTGTTCCCTGAGATCTTAGGATGACAGCTGCACAGCCCACCCCATCTGTGTGCTCCTGCAGCAGGCACAGGGTGCTGGACCTTTCCTTTGGTTTATTTGTCTTCACACTTTTAGATTTTCACATTATTCTGCTTCTCTGAATGCAGAGAAAGAGGAGTGGGCATGTTTCTTCAGAGGTTAACGAGGTGTTGTCCTCTGCCAGAGTAGAGACTATCTGGCAGCTCCTTAGTTGGTGGCCACCAAGTCCTTTCAAGTCAGTAAAACTGCAGCTTTAGTCTATTCTCAACACCCAATTCAGAGCCAACGTGGATTCTTTCTGTTTCACACAGCTATGCAAAAATCTCATCTCCAAATTAAACCTGACTTCTGCTTCCAACCTCCTTCCTCCACCTGCCCTCTGCTCCTCAAACCCTCTGTGCTCCCTTCTTTCAGAAGTCGTTGGCAACTGCCAGAGGGAAGCAATTATTACCACTGACACTTAACCTCCCAGCTGCCCAGACCAAGGAGGCTGCAGGTTTGCTCTGACAGGCCAACACAAACATCATGTGTGGAGATCACCAAGGTACAGGTCAGAGTCTCACCTGCCCTGCAGCCCAGGGTATCAGATATAAAGGGACTGAAATGTCTTCCTGATACTGCTCATTCCTCATTCACTCCAGCAGACTCCTCAGGACTCCTCAGCCCTTATCCACCATCACCAGCAGCACTACTCATAAGGCAAGACCACAGACAAACATCCTGCTGTGTCTGTCACACAAAATTCTGCTCCTCCAACGCAGGCAGCTTGAGCAGTTCCTCCTGCCCTGCTCCCTCCCAGCCCAGCCCACCACTGGTGCTCCACGTCTCCTGCAGCATCCCCCAAGTCTTCCCCCAAACCCCCCACCCTGGGAAGAGCAGCACATCCCCCCAACCTGCAGCTGCCACATCCTTGCCTCCTCCTTCTCCTTCCAGGCAGCAGAACAAGAGGTGATTGTAGGAGGTGGACCAAAGCCAGAGGGTGGGTGGTGGCCCAGGAGCTAGAGGAAGGAGTGTAAGGACTCCATCCTGCAGGGCCTGTTACACACAGCCACACACAAGGGCTGCCAGTGCTCAGCAGCTTTCCCTTTGCAGCTCAATGGTAAATCCTGTCACACTCGAGCTGCAGCACAACACTCCTCTTAGACAGCAGTGGAGCAGTGGCATCCTCAGGGATCTTTAACAAAAACCAGCTATGGACTAATGTAGATTGATATCACAGACTAACGAAGCTGGATTTCAACTCCCTGGAGCTGGGCTTATTCAGAATTGAAGTAGCTGTACCCAGCTCCAACATAACTCCATTCTGAAGGAAATTGAATAAAAAAAGAGGCCACTGAGCAGCTCCAGTACACAAAGGTAAAGGACAGGCAGAGTGAAGTGCTGCTACCAAATCAGATCAAGCTTCCCAACTCTCCCATCCAAAGAGCTCCTAACTGAATTTGGCCTTCCCAGAGTACATTTCCACTCACAAAATCACCTTACTGTTCATTTCTGTTGTTTGGTTTAGTTTCAAACCACCTATCTGCCCCATAAATAGCCCTTCCTGCCCTAAATTGACTACTCCTGACTTCTGCTGGTTAAACATCAGCAGAAACAACTGCTGAAGGCAGGGACCTGCCGAGTCCTCTCCTGAGGCTGGGAATCTGACAGTCACCTCAGGGTGTTCACAGGGGATTCCTCCTGGGGGCTGTGTGCCTCAGCTCATTCCATAGCTCCCAGGGGAGCAAAATGAGCATGTGAAGCACCACAAGGAACAGTCACCACAAAGGAGTCACCCAGCTAACCCCACCTTCATCACTCTGAGGTTTGCCAAACCTCTCGGTGAAGCCTTTGGGCTTGAGCAGCAAGATCTCAGACCAGTCTTTAGCTGAGCAGGACCCAGAGCACACACCAAGCCCAGCCCCAGCAGGCACTCACAGCTCCTCCAGTCCAGCTCTGAGAGGGACAAACCCCATTTTGATAAAACAC